TGGCGTTGTGTTATAGCTCGATATTGCATGCTGAAATAGTGCAACACACTGTCCTTACTAGCTTTTTTTGCATGAGGATATTGCTATACATTCAGACAAAGGGGTGAGGGAGCTGGTTAAATTGTGCCACTCCAGTTGTGGCGCGCCGGTTGTGGCGCTCCACCTGAGGCGTGCGCCCTTGTGCTCACCTGGCACTGTCGTACCTTTAGCTCGTGGGAACAAGGCGGAGGATGATGGTGTTTGTTAGCTCTCTCCGTGACAGTGGAACGGCGAGTATTTCGGCAGCATGCTTCGAAAACTTCACACGTGCGTGTCTGCCTATCTCAGTCGCAGGCTGATGGTCATGGTTCATTGCTGAACAGGTAATGGATCAATAGGGCTGCTTTTGATTTTGTGAGAGCACATGTATGTGTACCATGTGTGCAGTCCTGTTTGTCTCTTTGTATATAAATGTATATGTATGTCTGTCCTGTTGTGTGTTTAAATATATATATTTTGCACCGGATGTACCAAAGGTTTGGGGCTTGCAAAGTCAACCATTAGGCCTGCTCTCTATTTCAGTCGAACAACCACACATTCCCCCCTCCTCCCCACCGCTGTTTCTGGCTCACAGAGCATCACCTCATGTTTTCTTGAGGAGCAGATTTGTGGCATGGGCAGCGACGCTTCACGTTAGGATATTCACCCGGTTGGGTCAGTTTCGGTTCACCATCACTTTGAGGCTTTTCAGGTGCAGATGAAGACTGCTGCACCACTCATCTTTCTGTGTACATTTGACAGGACCCGGCTCCAGTTTTCAGAATTCCACTCTATGCAAAGCTCCTGTATGTGTGTGTGTGTCCATTTCACTCCAATGATTGTAATAAAAGAACAAATGGAAAAAATTTATGAATGATTCACGATCTTACTTATCTTTTACTAAAGTTATCTAATATACAGTGGCTTGCAAAAGTATTTGGCCCCCTTGAACTTTTCCACATTTTGTCACATTACAGCCCCAAAAATGAATCAATTTTATTGGAATTCTATGTGAAAGACCAACACAAAGTGGTGTACACGTGAGAAGTGGAACGAAAATCATACATGATTCCAAACATTTTTTTTTTTTTTACAAATAAATAATTGAAAAGTGGGGTGTGCGTAATTATTCAGCTCCCTGAGTCAGTACTCTTAGAACCACCTTTTGCAGCAATTACAGCTGCCAGTCTTTTATGGTATGTCTCTACCAGCTTTGCACATCTAGACACTGAAATCCTTGCCTATTGTTCTTTGCAAAACAGCTCCAGGTCAGTCGAATTAGATGGACAGTGTTTGTGAACAGCAGTTTTCAGATCTTGCCACAGATTCTCGATTGGATTTAGATCTTGTCTATGTTTTGTGATAAACCATTCCATTGTTGCCCTGGCTTTATGTTCAGGGTCGTTGTCCTGCTGGAAGGTGAACCTCCACCCCAGTCTCAAGTCTTTTGCAGACTCCAAGAGGTTTTCTTCCAAGATTGCCCTGTATTTGGCTCCATCCATCTTCCCATCAACTCTGACCAGCTTCCCTGTCCCTGCTGAAGAGAAGCACCCCCAGAGCATGATGCTGCCACCACCATATTTGACAGTGGGGATGGTGTGTTCAGAGCGATGTGCAGTGTTAGTTTTCCGCCACACATAGCGTTTTGCATTTTGGCCAAAAAGTTCCATTTTGGTCTCATCTGACCAGAGCACCTTCTTCCACATATTTGCTGTGTCCCCCACATGACTTGTGGCAAACTGCAAACGGGACTTCTTATGGTTTTCTGTTAACAATGGCTTTCTTCTTGCCACTCTTCCATAAAGGCCAACTTTGTGCAGTGCACGACTAATAGTTGTCCTATGGACAGATTCCCCCACCTGAGCTGTGGATCTCTGCAGCTCGTCCAGAGTCACCATGGGCCTCTTGGCTGCATTTCTGATGCTCTCCTTGTTCAGCCTGTGAGTTTAGGTGGACGTCCTTGTCTTGGTAGGTTTACAGTTGTGCCATACTCCTTCCATTTTTGAATGATCGCTTGAACAGTGCTCCGTGGGATGTTCGAGGCTTGGGAAATCTTTTTGTAGCCTAAGCCTGCTTTAAATTTCTCAATAACTTTATCCCTGACCTGTCTGGTGTGTTCTTTGGACTTCATGGTGTTGTTGCTCCCAATATTCTCATAGACAACCTCTGAGGCCATCACAGAGCAGCTGTATTTGTACTGACATTAGATTACACACAGCTGCACTCTATTTAGTCATTAGCACTCATCAGGCAGTGTCTATGGGCAACTGACTGCACTCAGACCAAAGGGGGCTGAATAATTACGCACACCCCACTTTTCAGTTATTTATTTGTAAAAAATGTTTGGAATCATGTATGATTTTCGTTCCACTTCTCACGTGTACACCACTTTGTATTGGTCTTTCACATGGAATTCCAATAAAATTGATCCATGTTTGTCGCTGTAATGTGATAAAGTGTGGGAAAGTTCAAGGGGGCCAAATACGTTTGCAAGCCACTGTATGTCAACAACAAACTGTGTTAATGGTACCAAAGTATATCATGAAGGAGGCCTCACCCTGATTAAACACTCCTCTACTAAACCTGAGGTTTCTGTCCAAGTAACAAAAGGAAAAAGGATAAGTGAAGCTACATTAATATATTAATGATGCAGATATTTAAAGATATCAGATTTGAATGCATGCAGTAATGAAAATTTGGTTTAGATGCTGAGGGCTGTGTTAAGCTTAGATCATTGTTAATAAAGGTACACATTGTACATACACAGTGGATGGTTTTATGTGGAAGCAACCTTGTGCGAGAAAGAGAAACACTAGATGAAATGGCAAAAATAAATAAATTTTAAAAACTTATAAGTTCTGATAATTTTGTAGAATATTTTGTCAAATTTGTGAGATATCAAATCTAAATTTCCATTGATATAATTTAAACTTTTCATCTTACAAATGTATTTTTGAAATAAGTTTTTTAGTGTTTTTAAAGACACACGAGCTAAGAGATTTAAAATCTTGAAAACTGAGTTCATATGTGCAAGACCTAGATATGCATTTTCTATTTCATGATTGGCATTTTCCATCTATAATTACAATAAGTCACCATTATTAGATAGTATGTCAAGGTGATGAAGTGCTATTATAATAAAATTATTGTAAAACTGAAAAATCATATCACACATACAGTGGGGCAAAAAAGTATTTAGTCAGCCACCGATTGTGCAAGTTCCCCCACTTAAAATGATGACAGAGGTCAGTAATTTGCACC